CTCTCTCTCTCTCTCTCTCTCTCTCTCTCTCTCTCTCTCTCTCTCTCGTCTCTCTTTTTTTCAACTTCTTCGTTGGTTTTTATTATTATTGTTGATTCGTCTCTTTCTGCACACACGATAGCAATGTGCGATCTCAGTCGTTTATTCCAAAGAAAAAAGCGAAACAGCGACTGGAACGAAATCAAAATCCGTTTTTCTTTTGCCTATATACGACTTTTTCCGTATGTTAAAATATTCAAAACACCGAAACACGTTGCTTATTTTGTCTCTCACTTGGTCGGGCTCGCGCTCTCGCTCGATGCGAACAGCAAATCACCAAAAACTGAATGCAATGACAACCGAAGTCGTACTGATACTGATAATAACAATAATCATAAATATGCTCGCTTTGAATCGCTCGAAAAAAGGCGAACAGAAGAGCAAATGTAACAAAACAGACGACGACGACGACGACGACCACGACAATAACAATAATTAGAAGGAATTTTTTTTTCTTTCATATATAGATGTGTGTATTATAACAGCAACAACAACAATATTGTACACCCGAATGAAGTAACGTTCAGTCAAAACGACAACGAATATTAACAAAAAAAAAGAGCAACAACAACAACAACAACGAACTATAGATTGGCTTAAATTTGCGCCTTCCTTGTGATATTGTATATGAATGTACTATACTCACACATTTAACGTGGTGTGTATGTTTTTTTTTTTGATTCGATACTTGGATTGTTTTGATTTTTTTTTTCTCGGCACAAAATTGTTCGTTTCTTTAAAAAAAAAACACCGTGGTCTTTAAAATAATAATAATATTTGGATTGTCAAATTCAAAACCGATCAATTTTTGTGTCAAATTTAAAACCGCGAACAAAATTTAAAAAAAAAATTCCGCGATTTTTTTTTTGGAGCGATCGACGAAAATGTCTTTCTCTTTCTCTCTCTGGTTTTTTTTTCGTCTCTCAAAGTTGTAATCACCATCAAGAAGAAAAAAAAAACTAACAAGAAATTGAAATTGAAAAACGTCGCTTATCCGCTGTATCGTTTGTTTTTCGTGTGTCTCTCGGCGAGCACAGTGTGTATGTTGTGTATTTCGGCGCTGTGTTGCAAGTATTTGCACGATCATTGAGTTAGGACTGACGGAAGATTTTCATTAATTTTGTATTTTTATTTTTTTGTTTCGTTTTTTTTTCTCTGCTTGTTGCTGCTGCTGCTGCTGCTGCGTTCTGTTCATTCTCATGTTAGGTCCGTTGATTTGAATCGCGTTATCTCTGTCCCGCCACGATTTGGTTGTCGTCATCCACTCGGTTTGTCGTCTTCTTCGTTTTATTTGTTTTCTGCGTTTTGCTGCCTTCGTGCCGATATTTTATTTTTACTGTTGCCATTCCATTCGCTCTGCCCTGTATCGAATATTTGCTGTTTCGTTGTTTCTTCATTTCGGCGTTCGTATGTCGTTGTCGATTCGTGTGCTGCCTTCTTGTTTTTTCTTCTTAAAATTTATATTATTTTGATTCGTACAACGAGTTTTTTTGCCCATACATTGTTAATCATCAATATATGTATACACAGGCTACATATGCGACGGACACAATAATCGCGCCGAACCGTTTGCGCTCATTTGATTCAATCGCTATGCACCATCTCTGTCTGGCGTACACGCGAAATTGTAACGTTAAGCCCATATATGAGTGTATTGTTTTTTCTACTTCGTGATTTGATGTTTCTTTCTTCTTCTTCTTCGCCGCGTTCATTTCTTGTGTGTTGTCACAATGTTATTCATGTGTTTGTTACATCGTGTTGGGTAGTATTGCTCGTTTGTTTTTTTTAACTTTGACTCTCGATGCTGTTGCTGCTGTTCTGTCTTAGCTGCAATAGCTTTGGCCTGTCTCGCTTTTGCACGAGCGGATTATTGTTGTTGTCGTGGCCGCCGTTGTCGATGTGCAAGCATTTGGCGATCGATGAGCGCCGACAAAACGCTGTATGCGCAATTTCTCACTCTCGCTCTTCTCGTTTGAAACATACGCGGATATGTTGCCACTGTGTGGTGTGGTGTGTTGCTGTGTGCTCAGACGTCAGACCCGATCACTTTTCAAATTGTATTAATTTTCATATTGTAATTGTGTGCGGTCCGTTGGCTGCCTCGCTCACACGCTCGATCTCGCTCACTCGCTATAGCCATCTCCGTTCCCAACCAGTATCAATGAATAATTTACCGACTTGTCATTCAGAGTAAACAATGCACTAAGTGTTTTTAATCCATACGACCAACGAAAAAAATAAACAACAACAATATCATCAACTAAACGAATTGTTGCTGTTCTGCTGATAACAACACACTGATACACACATATATACCCAACTCTCGAGCGAGCTACTGCGCTCTCCCCTTACCATCTCTATCATTCGTTTGCCATCTCTGTTGCACTCACTCGCAACTGAGTGAATGCATGTGGAAGCTGAAATGCCTGAACACTTTGTATTTGGTGTGCTTGGAAAGTCCGTAACCGCCTTATCTGCTGGAATTCATGAATTCATCTTATCAGCACAGTCCAATGAGTGATTAAACATCGATTTTATATGGTTGCGTTGAAATTTGTTTTTTTTTTCGTCGCTCTATGTTGCCCCGATATGTATACATACAGGCAGCAGTGCGCTGATACATATGAACGTTCTAGTAAAACGCAATAATCAATGATCTCATATGGGTCTTGAGTGGCAATTCGAATATTCACTTGAAACGAGACATTGTTCCAAAACTATATGATTTCAGAGAGGATAGAAATGAAAGAGATAAAAGAGAGATAAAATAGAGATAGAGTAATTACCCATCTACATATCAAATCAAAACAAAAGCATTGCATTCGTAACGGTATGCAACATGTTGATAGGTTTTGTTTTCGTTTCTAATTAGAACGATTGTTTGTTAAAATTTCGAAAAATATGCAACTTCACGAAGACAAACAACCCATTAATTGAACAAAAGTACCAAATTAAGTCTCATTTTCTCTGGGGATTTCCAATTCGTGCCATTTTTTTTTCTCTGTAATTATTCGTTGGAAAATTTCCATAGAATGTGAAAAACTTACACACATTTCCATGTTGAACAACCGTTCAACCGTTCATTCCGTGTCGTATTCCAATTTTCAAAGTCAATTCATATCTGTATTGAATTGTGCTAACCGCTGCTACCACCTACCGTCCAACCGTACAAACCGTTTGACAACACACAATGTACGAAATGTCATTGTCGGTGGTGTCATCGATCATACGAACACAAATCCCCGTCAGACTGTGTGTCTTTGTGTGTGCGTTTATGACTACTCAATGTTTACGCAAAAGCGAATTGGTTCAATGTACAGAGACAATTCTCTCTCGCTCATTGAAAACAACGAAAAATGTGTGCATGTGTGTTCGTTGGAGGCACATATCGCCTTGGTGTTGTAGAAAACCATCACAGAAAAAAAAAACGGTGTGTGGCCAACAGCGAATGAAAGACTAGAGAAGAAAAAAACATAGTGAACAAAAACATACAGAGCGCGAGTGATTCGATAGAAAAACGAAAAAAAATAGAAGAGAAAAAATAAATATTTTTGTCGAATAAAATTGACCCACGACGAACGGGAAAAGAGTGAAATTTTTTGGTTCCGAGTTGATTGCTGAAATTTTCTCAAAAACGACGCAACAAAATGATTATCAAATAGTGAACAATCATTTTCGGAGCAGCCCAAATACACACAATAATCGTGTGGAACGGAAACAAATCCAAATCACAATAATTTATGTAGGTGAATTGTAGTTTTATTTTCATTTTTCATTTATTCGTTTGTTCGTTAACTAAGCGAGCGAAAAAAAAAAATCACAAAAAATCTGCATTTTATAAAACTGCAGCGAACAACGGATGAACGAAAATAAAATGTGCATTTGTCGAGGTTCAGTGTTGTTGGTGTGTGTGTGTGCGTATGTGAATGTTATTGTTTACGGGGAAAAATGATAAGGGAGATTTTTCTCTCCTGATTTTGCCTTAGAAGTAAATGATTACACTGTGATGATAGGATCGAATGTGAATTGCCAGTTAATAATAGATAATTAATTGGGCTCACGTCTCACGAGCTAATACAAACACCATTTTTTTTCTTGCTCACTTCAGAAATGTTGAGGCTTGTTGTGTGACTAGAAATTGAGCAAAGAAAGAGAAGTTTGAACGAGCAAAGAAAGAGAGAATTGTGTGGAGTTTGAAACGAAGAGAAAAATTAATTGTGTCATCCTAACAAAATGGAATGTGTGACTTTCCATAATTTGGCTTTAAAAACTCAATTCGTTGTTTTTTTATCATCGTCACACGCGTCCCGAAGGTGACGACAACGCTCACTCTTTGTGATGTACGTGTGTTGTTTTTTTCTTCTTCTCTGCGTTCATTTCAAATCGAAATTGATTCTGATTCAAACATCAAACAAAGGTAATGCTTCGTATGCGTGTGAAAAACAAAAGAAGTCGATCGAAAAGTAAATCTCTCTTCATTTAACTTTCTCATTCTGTGTGTAATCAATGTGTGATTACAATGATGACGACAACAAAATCCGACTGAATGGTTAGTCATTCGGAGATATCAAGACTTCGCGCATTCTGGTCACAACATTTGCTACCGCCGTAAAATGGCCCATAAACTAATCTTGTTGTCGTCGTCTAACCAAATTAAATCAATTAGCACTCCTTAAATGAAAATGAACACAGCACACACAGTCACATAGCCAACCGAAAAAATAGAGAAATGAAGAACAGCGCGAATTTCGATGTGTTGGTGTCATTTATAAAAGTAAATAAGGTTTGTCGTCCACCCGTTTTGTTCTCAATTCTCTCCACTTACATGGATCACGGGGCACAAATTCGTCAATTGGAACGGCAAAGAGTGCCATTAACCATACCATGCGAGAGAAATACAATATTGCGAATCACATTTGTAACTTGAGTTGCTTTTTTTTTTCGTCTTCGGCCCATTTGGTGAACGAATTATGACGTTTTTATTTCTACTTTTCGGAATCACGACACGACTCGTTGTCTCCAGCTTGTTTTTTTGCTCTTTTGAATTTTGACATTGCATAAGCAAACACAACGAAGGTGCTAATCAAAAATGTATTCGCTGATTAAAATGTTATTCAGTTTCGATTTCAAGTGATTTATTTGCGAAAGAAACGATTAATTCGATTGCCAGATTAAGTAAATCCACCGAGTGAGATGATGTGATTTGTTGCGTTTATTGACCTGCATGGCATTGATGCGACAGCGGCGGTGGCTCATCATTTGCACTTTCTAATTGAATATTTCAATAACGCTGATTTCAAATGCACCACATCTTTTTCAACTTCTCATTTACACAAATTTTATGAAGCGCGTGAAAAATTCCGATTTATTTATGCATATTTTTTTTCTCTTCATCGGATTTATTTTTAGATTAAGAAGAGCAACACGCCACCAGGTGAGGCAATACGCAGTATATGTGATGTAAATGCCAACAAAATGGATGTAAACACAACCGATCCATATGAGCAAAAGCTCTATAATATGTTTAAAAGTTTCGATACACAGTCGATTGGCACATTGGACAAGGCGGCTCTATTGGAACTGTGCACAACGCTCGAGCTTAAAGATCGCACCACCAAATTGGTGGCCAATTTAATCGATCCAAAACGTAATAATCGCGTATCATTCAACGAATTTAAAGAAGGCCTACTCAATTTACTCGGCACTGATACCGATGACAATGACGACAATGCAACACATGGTAAGGGAATTTCGGTGGAAATAAAGACGAAGACGACTGCTATCGGTGCAGGCTATAATAATGATAATTTCTTCTTTTTCACTCTCCGCAGTAGTGGACAATGCAAAAGGATCATCGCCATCGCAGAATAATCATGCAAATGAAGAAGTAACAACGATGTACGATGAGTCAAAATCGCGGGAGGTATCGCCAAAATTGGTAGTTCGTGGTAAAAAATACGGCCGACGATCACGTCCACAAAGTGTTGCCCCATTCGAATCATCGCAATCGGATTCGGAAGAAGACTACGAATTTGCCCGTGTTCCGACCGCTGGTGAAAAGTCAAAAACTTATCACAAGGTGAGCTAAGTTGTCGCCATATCTAACTTTATCTAATCTTAGATCTCCGTCCGATAAAGTCTTAATTTGTTCTTTGAATAGAAAGTTCTTGTGTTGTGACACATAATTTATGATTATGAGTCAGAATCTCAATTTTGTCATCCTGAAACCGATCATTTTCTGATTGTCATTCCACGTCTTTGTTTCATTCCATGTTCGATATCTCAGGTGCAGCGATCTGTTTCACAAGGTGATATGCATGACACGAATGGTAGACGTGTTCGATCATCCGTATCATGTTCGGCCAGTAATAATGTTACAAAGTTAAAGCGATGCGCATCGTTACCAGCACAAAAGCGAAATGTTCCATACATGAGTAGCAAAGAGACGGAGAATTTGAAATTACAATTGGAGGGCAGTGTCGAGTCTCTTGGTGAGTATTTCATTTGTGTTGTCACCTGAACACTGAATTTTCCCCATGAGCACTGCATTTTTTCGGAATGCAGTAGAAAAAAAAGAGTTTAAATGAGCCTAATCAATAAATAAGTTTTAAAGAAAATGGTCCAAACTCGGTCAGCTGATCAGCTCACACTGATATGAGTCAGCCCACTGATTTTGTTCTTTAGTTCAAATTGTTTAACATTTAAATTTGACTTGGAAGCCAAACGAAGCGTTTTCTCGATCGCATTTGAATTTAGCGCGATGCACTGATTGACGATTTAGCATGCATTGATTTGATCATGTATTCGAAATTAACAACAATTAACTCTAGTACTAACAGTCGGTATTTCTCTTTTCTCCCATCATATCTCTCTGTCTATCTGTCGATCCCTCCCTGGAATTGCCAAAAATAAAACAAACAAAAATAAATGCGATTGAATCACACACACAAAAAAACAAAAACACACAAACACATACTCAAAACCACATTTACATTACGTACATGTCTTGGTCTTGGTCTCGGTCGTTCGGGCGTGTAGACAATTTAGACTTTGAAAATCTATCGAATAGCTTGTTCCATGAATGGAATAATTTTGAAAATAATGCAATCACCGACGATACCAAAGCAAATCAGTCGCACAGTAGCCAGTCGCCATTATCAACAGCAACAATCGCCCCATCAACATCACCATCATCATCACATCGAAATCGCATTGAATTAGAAACGATTTTTGTGCGCGTTGGCCTACAATTGCCGGTTGCATGTCGTCTCGCTGATGAAGTGTACAATAAATTGGGCCTGTCTGCCGATCAATGCATTTGTTTTACCGATTTTTTAACGCTCATCGGACAATGCCATTCAGAAACGGATGCGGTTAAAACAACACCTATCAAATGCAACGATGGTGTCGTCGTTGGCGGCGGCGCCACCGATCACGAATACACAATCAGTCCATTAAATGATCACATGATTTTTGATATGCATGCCCCTGCATCAGGTTTGTTCTGCCCTCTCTCTATCCATCTCTTTTTGTCACACACACACATACAAACACAAAAAAACTCTGTTACACTCTAGTCCTGCTCCATCTTCTCGTGTGGCCATCATAGTGTGGCGTTTTGAAGTTTATTTTTATCTGTTGAATTCTGTTTTGTTTTAACCCACCCAAAAAACCATAACCTCATTTAATATCCGTTTTGTCGATACCGTCTTACAATTACCTTTTTTTACGTTGCTTTTTTCTAAAAAAAAATTTTTTAACACAACCGTCCTGTGTTTTTTGCCCAGAACACTTTTTTTCGACCCTTTTCTTAGGTAGTTTGGACTTTAGTTTTCGTAGTTTTTTTTTTCCTTTGGTTTTAATTACTAGTGCACTGTTGAGTTTTTTTTTCGATACTAATGCTCACAAGTAGAGTAGTTGGGACCCTTATCATTTGTACCATGCCCTTTCATTCGTATCATCACATCCCATCTCTTCGTCTAAAATTCACGTTAGCCCTGCTTTTGATGCCATAATGACCAGTTCAATTCTCATCTTGCATTCCTTTTTTTCGACAGATGAACCAAACGATTGGTCAAATGAATCATTATCAATTGACACCATTATCGATATGTGGGAAATGGCACATGTCAAAAATCCAGGCATGATCATGGAAGATCTGGGGTTCACCGAACGTGAAATCAATCTATCACGATTGTTGGGCGTCATCGATGAAGAACTGCAGAACGTGCACAACGATCGAGAATTTACTCCACTATTGAGGGTGAGTTTTGAAAGAGCAAGCATTTTCAGTTATTTTTGTTTTTTGTTTTTTTGCTTTATTTTTGAAAATTTGACTCATTTTTCGAACCACAAATATTTAGTTTTTCCTGCTTTTTTCATATTTTTCTTCTAATTTCAATTTCAAATTTATTGATATTCTCTTTTTGCGTTCCAAATTTCACGCTAAATCCATCAATCATCGTCACCAGGCGTCATTGGTCTTGCACAAGCTCGAAGTGAATGCGCTGCAAAAGTCATTTCGGCACGCTGCCTATGAAAACAAGCAATTACACATAAATGTGCGTGAATTGAACAATCGATCGTTCATATTGGCGCAGGAAGTGGACGAACGGCATGCAACGCTCGAATCATCGGCTCGCGATCAGGTCAAGCAATTGGAACAACGTCATGCGGTGAGTTTTGAAGGATTTTTGTTCTATTTTGGAATATTTTCATTGATTTTATTTTTTTAGATTCTTTTTATGAAATTCGATTGATTGAATCTGATGAAAAAGTTTCAGATAAAATAAGAATCAAAATAAATTCAACAAACCATCAATTTTATCCAAATTCGATCCAACTTCCTCCAATCTTTTGAAATTTTACTCAAAAAGATTTCAATTTCCCTTCATATTACGAAAGTTTCAATTTTTCTTCAATTCCTAAATTTTTCATTTTACTTCAATTGCAGGAAATTGTGCGTGATCTAACCGCGCAATTGAGTAACGAGCGCGAACAATGGTCAACGTTGAATGTAAAATTGGAAAAGCGAATCAAACAATTGGAAATGGATGATGCAAAGCATAAAGCGAATATGTTACGTTTACAAAGTGAAAATAGTGCCTTAGAAAAAGAGCAATTGTCGTTACAATCGCAAATCACCGATTTGCTGGAGAAGAATATTCAATTGAATAATGAAATAGCCGATGCGCAAGATCGTTACGGTGACGACCGTGATATGAATGCAACGGATCAAACGTTAGATTTGATTGATAAGATATCCAAGTTGCAAATTGAGAATGCAAACTTGCGTGACCGAAACGATGAGCTGGGAATTGAACTGGAGGAAACGTTGACCGAATTAAATAAGGTGAAGAGTCGCAAACAGTTGCGTTTCGATAGTAGTAATCAAAGTGGTGGCGAGGATAATGCGAGCAGTAGCGGTGAAGGATCGAATGTGTCTGGTGGTGCGGCGACAAAACGGCGTGGTGATTCGCCCAGCAAAGCAAAATTATCGGAAGAAAGTCCACGATTTGGGAAATTGCGCAAGTATCATAATGACAACAGCGAGGGTGAATCAGAGACGAGTGGCGATTGGCTTGCATTAAATTCAGAGCTGAATCAATCGACATCGATGTCACAAACAACGGCCACCACATCTGGATTCTCGCAGGATTTCTCAAGTCTAACCGATCCGAAGGAGTGTGAAATTAAAGAGCTTCGTCAACAACTTGCTAAACTCGAAACGGAACTCAGCGCTATGAAGTCACAACATTCAACCGTTTCGAGTATGGTGGAAAAAAGTGTCGACGAGAAAACCAACGAAACGACGCCCAAAGCTGACACGAGTGATAAGGTACACGTGCAACGAATTCAAGAGCTGGAAAATAGTTTGGAACAAATGCAAAAGGAGTATGAAGCGTGCGAGGATTACTGGCAAGGCAAACTAAACGAAGAACGACAGTTGTACGAGGAGGAACAACGGATTAGCGATGAGAAATTCACAGAACTCTTGAAAAAGATGACTGAATACGAGGAACAATTCACAACATCCACTGAAAAAGACGGTCGACTCACACCAATCGAAGAGAAATGCCAACTCGAACAACAGTACGCCGATCTGGAAGCCGAAACTGAAGAGTTTCGAGAGCATGCACGCAAAATTTTCGAAACAAAATCACAAGAGATTGATCAATTGCAGGCGAAAATTAAGGAATTGGAAGAACGATTGTGCTATCCAGCCACTAGTGAACAAACGAATACGACACAACGCCTAAAGACATCGGACAGCGAAAGTGTAGCCAGTTCACCAATTAGCTATCTATGGAATCAAAGTACAATTCAAGTCCCAACACGTGACTATCAAAATCCAAATTGGAATCGAACAAATCAAACGAAAGAGGAGTCCAATCCATTGCCTGCGGACGATGAGACAGCAAACCAAAATCTTATATCACCGATACGACGGCCACAAACACCTTCTACATCGGCCGCCACCACACTCAAGAATACAGTGGTCGAGAATAGTGAAAATATCATCGACAACACCACCGAAATTCTTGACGATGTTTTATCACTTAGGAGCTTTGGCACACACAGTGTTGCCTCAACACACAGCATGTACGCATTTTTTTTTAGATTTGAGATTCTGGTTTTCCAACGAAATTATTTCAATTGGAACATTTCTTTTGAATTTCTTGAATTTTCTCCTCGAAAAGTTTTTATTGAAAATTTCTTCCAAATTCCATTCATTTTTTTAAATATGTTTTGTCCTGCAATTTAAATATTTATCTCCTGTTCTCTCTTCAGACATCGATCGTTACCTGAAAACATTAGTACTAGTCCAAATTTGATACGTGAAGACATAAAGCGTCTAAAATTGATTGAAATTCAATTAAATGATGAGGTAAATAGTATTATTGAACAGCAGCCGCCTTATAGATAGCTAATTCAATGCATTGTATTTTGACGAATTCTAGGTTAAGGGTTTGGCACACACACGAGATGGCTTGGTCATGGAATTACAGCAATTGCAAGAGGCCAAACCAGTATTGGAACGAGCTTATGCGGTAATGATTTGCAATTTTTGTTCGGCATTTTCCCGACCTTTTTTCGACTTTTCTTCGATTTTCCTTCGATTTTCTTCAATTGTTTTTTCTCGACTTTTTTGATTTTCATTTTGTTTTACTTTTTTCCGATTTTTTGTGTTTTTTTTTTGTCGACTTTTCTTGTTTCTATGTTTCCCACGACGTCCTTACGTCGTTGTTCTGAAACATCCTCGATTCTTCTTACACGATTGAATTCTTATTTAAAAATTTAAAAGGATTTTGTAAATCAAAATAAATCATTCTAGTTATTTCGTTGGTTGTTAAAATGATTTAATTGCGATTGAGTGCTTTCGCGTGGTTTCATAGCAATCGGAAAAGTCGTTAATTTGTTTGCACATCATATTTCGTTATTCCATTCAGCCAATTTGTCATTTTATGCCAATCAAAGCTCAAGTGAAATACTAACGAGCGAAAAAAAAACACTCTTTAATTCATTGATAGCGAACGCCACATCCGAGTTTGATACAGCGAATTCAGCAGTTGGAGCAAAAAAATCGTCATTTACAATTTTGCCTGAAGCAGCAGCAGCAGTACACTGAAACAATTATGCAACGTAAGTCGACTGATGTTTACATTGAAATGGCAAAACTAGCAAAAATTTAATCGAAAATATTGTTTCTATTCATTAAAAATGCGCGATAACACAGAATCGTGGCAGCAACAGCGTACGGAAATCAATGAACTGCGTGGTACAGTCGAAACGCAAGTCATAATAATGAATGAGCAGGCACAGCGGCTGACAAATTCCGATTTGCTCGTCAAAGATTTGTATGTAGAAAATTCGCAGCTGACGGCGGCAATACAACGACTGGAGCAACAGAGATCACGTAACAATATGATGCTACAACATCAAGGCGTACCGGGAATGCTGTAGAGAAGGAAAAAACAAGTATTATCGCTTGCAAGTGAAAGAAGAAAAAAACACACAGATAAGACGAGAGAGAAAAATCGACGGGGTCACAACTAAAAGTTCTATAAAATAATCACACTGCAACAAGCAAGCAAAGCAAATCACTGATATTTTTTATTATTTAATTCTTTATGAAATTGTAACACACACACACACCGAGTGCATTACTAGATGTCCCTTAAACGATTTGGCGTGTATTTTACAGGAGAGTGAATGCAAACCTTTTTTTAAGTGTTATATAAACTGAATTTAATTGATTTAATTTATTTTGAAAGAAAAAAACAAAGGAAAGCAAGCAAAGCAGACAACTAACCTCACTCATATTCACATTGAATAGACACGCACATCGCGATGAATGAATGAATTGAGCGTATTTTATTTATTTTTTTGTTTTTTGATTTTAATTCGTTTTTCTTCTTCGGAACATGTAAATATTTTGATATTACGTTTTGTGATGGCACTGAATTGTGGAATGGCATTTTGATGCGTGATACGGACTCAGAGTATGATAGTATCATACTATGATACTTACTTTCATACACGCATCGGCAAACGACTTCGAAAAGGAAAAAAAAACGTGAATACTCGAAACGGAAATGGCTTTGAATTTTGATAGATGTTTTCTTCCCATTTTCAGTCATTCATAGCAATCATTAGCACACATCAGCGGCTCATTAACAGCCAGTGGCCTTTCAGCCACACACACACACACACACCTTATTTATATATATATGGTGTCCACACTAACACTTGCCACGCATTCAATTTCAGTCAAAAAAACGTTCTTTAGATTCGTAGAAATTACGTGTTGTCTTTCATTTATCTCAAAAAGAAACAAACGATTTTCTAGTTCTTAACAAAATCACACTCGAATTTTCTCAATGGCAACACAAATTCATGTTCATTATTTTATATATATGTTTGAAAAGAAAAAAAACAAAGAATAATTATTTTAATTAAAAAACAATTGTCATTAATCAAAAAAAAAAAATAATTAATTTAAAAAGGAAAAATCAAAAATTATTTAATTTAACATAATTGCAAATTGATCTAATTTTTAAAATTGAAAAAAAAAAATTGATCACCCAGAAACTTTTTTGAGGTAGAAATTTTTTTGGAAAGAAAAGAGAAAACAAAAAATTTGAAAAATTCCACACGCAAAAATGGATGAACAAAGAAAAGTCTGTTTTTTTGTTTGATTTTTGGAAAAAACTTCGGATTCCTTGAAAAAAAAATTGATTTTTTTCAATCCTGAAGAAGAATTTTAGGAAAAAAATTAAAAGAAAAAAAATATTTCTTGACTAACCATAATTTGGACTTGGAAACTGAGAGAAAACAATTGAATTTAACATAAATGTGCGTGGCAATTACGTTTTTTTTGTCTAACCATTGTGGTGCTCGATGTTGTCAATGCAACTACATAGTAATTGAGTGGAAGCTAATTTTTTTTTGTACACAATTTAACTTGCCCAGACAGTTATCCAGTTAGCCACAGGCTAATATCCAGGAAAATGCAGTTGGTTAGGAAAGGTAGTCAGTCAGGCAGATCAATAGCTAAGGAGATTGGATTCATAAAAAAAGAGAAGATGATTTTTGTTACGGCAAATGGCAGATCCTAGAACCGATATGAGGCCTGAGGCAAACCAAGACATAGACACATTTTCTGAGAAAATCGTAGTGAATTTAAAAAGAAATATTTAATTAAAAATCAAAATTTGAAAAGAGAAACCAGAATTTGAAAGAGAAAAAACCAAAACTTGGGCAGAGATAAAAAAAAAACCGAAATAAAAAGAGAGAAAAATTGTCAAAATTTGAGAAGAATTACGAAATCAAAAAAATCAATCCATTTGCCATCCAAATTCCAAATTCCATCCTATTAACTCCAAAAATTTGCTGCTCAGTAGAAAAACTTGTTACTTGCCATAAATAAGAAAAAAAAGCATAGAATTGATAAAGTAGTTGATTCAAGCCTGATTCTCGCCTCTCTTCCGATATACAAACACAAAATAATTGAACAATAATGAGGAAAAAAACGAACATTGGATCAAATAATTGCAAAGCATATTTTTATTAAAAGTTAAGAAACAAATTAAAAGACACACACAAAATCATATCTATTTTAACGAGAGAAAAAAACAAACAGAGCTAATAAACGGTATCAAAACAGAAGAAAATGTTTTTTTTAATGCGTTATATTTATTGTATTGTTTTAGCTAATAAAATTGACGATTCGCTGGGAAAACCTAATAAAAATGCCGCACTGAATCGAACAGTGTAAAAAAAATGTTGGAGTTTCTAACTCTAGAGACATGAAAAATGCATATAAATATGACAAGGAATTTCCATGCCTGTTAATGATTGCATGCAAAGCGGCATTATTGCGTTGCGTTTCACTTTCGCTGGAAAAATTGATGAAATCTGGAGCAAGCGCCTATTTTAACCGGGCACGCCAGCATTATTCTCGATCTAATTTTTTTTTTTAATTGCTTGCAACTTTCGTTTTTCATGCGTGTTACACCATGCAGCTCCATGGAAAATGGTTGGACTTTTTGCTGCTGCCGCCGTTGTTGTTGTTGTTATTGATATTTATTATGGTCTATGCTCGGTTGCATGGTGCACTCATTTTAATATTGCGCGCTTATGTTTTATTGCCACTGATGATTCTCGGAGATAAGACAATGTATGCATATACGGAAATAATGGTCACACAATGCATTCGCCGGACAAGCGGACAATAAATATTTTGCTGACACATTTACCATTTATTATTTTTCGGTCGAATCACAAGCGCATTAGTCTTATTCCAAACAGCCACAAATCAACTTGACCCAACGATTTATCGTTTGCGGGCGCTGCAAAGTTTTCATTTCTTTCCATTGGACAACGAACAAACATTCGACGGAATATTTAGTAAAAATCATCGTTTTCCAACTTGTCAAAGATAAAACATTTGTGAAATGTTAACTACGTTTTAGAGCATTGGAATAATTATTAAAATAAACATTACATTTAGAAGAAAGTGTTTCTCTTTTTGCTAGAGCATCTAGGCTAGAGGGAAAAGTGTTTTTTGGCAACAGTTTTTGTTGACCGATTTCGCTTTTTGGCTTCTGAATATCGGGGAAAACTCGACTTTTTCTGGAGAGTTCTGCGAAAATCGGTCTCTTTTTCACACATCAGATTCAATATTTTTTCTTCCTTGAATATTCCAATTGATTGTTGGTTGATGTTGTTGTTGTGTTGATTTTGATTTTCCGTTTTTTGCTTATCTTTTTTTTTACTTAACTTTCAGAAATTCGAAATTCAATTCAACGATTGTCGAAGATGAAACGTGCATCAGTTTGGTTTGTGTTATTGTGTGCCGTGCAAATTGCAACCGCTTTTAGTATAACGAATAAGTTAAGCATCGACAATTTAACGGCCACACCTGAGCTCACAATGAATATTAACGACAGTTACATCGACATTAGTATTGATGAGTTCGACATTGGCAATGCAAATGAATCGTTTAACTTTGATTCAAGGACCGATCTTGTCATCCAAAGTGATCAAAACAACTATAGCATCAGTCAAACGCCACCACTTCACACCACTCTTATCACACCCAAGGAACACTGGCGAACCTCAATACTGAAACATCAAACACGAACATCGCGCAGCTTTTTTGGACTATTCATTATACCATGTTAGTTGAAGGGGTAACCACTATCAGCCTCTTTCTCAACCTTTTTTCTTGTTTTTAATTTATTTTTATTTGTCTGAACTTTGTTTCTTTCTTTCAACTTTTTTCCTTTTTCTCACCTCTTTTTATCGATTTTCATCGACTTTCTTTCAATATGGTTTCCAATTTATCCATCATTTTGATTTATTTGTGTCTTAATTCCATTAGATATCATTTGCTTCTTCGCTGCCAAAGGATTTTGGCCATTTTATCCGTCGATGCTGCAATACCAAGTGAACGAAATGGGGAAAAAAGTATTCTCGCAGAGCGATGATCGCATCCGACAATTCTGTTGCGGAAAGTTTAACTTTCAAGAAACATGCTATCGTCCAGGTATCCAATCCTTTACATTTGATTGATTTGATTTGAAAGGGATGGTTTGGGCAAAGAGTTTTTTTTTCATTTTTTCCTCACAGTTTTCAGTTTTCGTTTAGAAATTTTCGCGGTTTTTTTTATGTTTTTATGATTTTTCAAAATTTTGTCTTTGGTTTCTTTTTTCGGGCTCTTCTCATTTCAAATGGTTTTGTGCTCAAGTTCAAATTTGTTCAAAAAGTTGTTTGTCTTCACTTTTTTTAGTTTTTCTGCTATACTCTCATATTTTTCAAAGACTTTTTTCGTTTTTTTTTCTGTTTCCTGTTCATATTTTGTTTCAATTTTTCTTCCTTAGTTCTTTTTTTTTCAATTGTATTTTCTTATAAATTTACTATTTGCGACCAAAAAAGACCGATCTCATTCAAATGCTATATATTTTGCAGTAGTGTACAAGGGATATTTTGTTCCAGTTGATGCGACCGATTGTCCGCCTATATCAACGTCCCCATCGGCTGCAACAACAGCAAAACCGGCGGCCCAGTCATGGGGTGATGTACCGGCTCGAATAGCTAAGCCGAAAACTCCAGTGCAGCAGAACACCGATGTAGAAGTGTTTGATTCGGGTAAAACCACGACGCCATCGACAAGTAGTGAAAAACCGTCGCCAAACATCAACATCGAAATACATAATGTATTTTCATTTGGTACATCGACCAATTCATCGTCACCGCCACGAAATGAGGAAAGCGATAGTAAAATCAGTGTGTCATCAAGTGATCAACATCGTCCGAATCCTCCCGTGTTATATGCATAGACCGAGAAAAACGAGCTTTACCATTCGATTTTCAATTAGCACATAAGATAAAAAATTCAAATCAACTTTTAAAAAAAGAAAGAAGGAAAGTCACAGCTGCGCCATCTATATGTCGCCTGTAAAAGCATTGCACCCATTTTGACTGATCTCGAATTTCGTTGGGCTCAGCGTGTGTGGTAGTCAGCGGTATTTTATCGCACACATATGCAAATTACTGTTGCAGAAAAAAATTAAATATTCGGTAAAAATGCGATTTAAAACACACGAGGACAAAAAAGGCACACAAGCATAAATTGGACACAAACAAAAAATGGACAATTTTCCACCTGAAAGAAGAAAATGCGTCGTTGTAACGAAATGCATGGGATTTTGGTCGGTTTTTGAATCGGGCGATTGTTGATTGTGGGATGATTGTTTTGAATGCGTGTCAAGCAAAGTGAAAATGTTGGCAAACGGAGATGCATACGTGGTTGATGATGTTGGTAATAGATGAGAGTGAGCGAGGCAGCGAGATAGACAGAGACAAGATAGATCGCGATATGTGAGAGGGGACAACGACGATGACGACGACGACGGCGGCGAAAAAAATGGAAATATGGTACACGTTTATAGGAATGAGAGACGGCCTGTGGTGTGTACCTCACAGTGGCAGTAGCAGCACCGGATTCTTTTCAACAACGAAGCGGTACACTAGCACATTTGCAAAACTCGAACACGCATACACACGCATCTACACATTTTAAAGCCCGACAACCATCAAACACACGTTCACACACACACGCCTCGCAGTCACACATACTCACACAGTCATACATGCACATACATTTCGAAAGTGTGTATTCGGCAGTACAGTACTTATGCGGTTTCATTCTCTCTTCAGTCAAATCTTCATTTATTGCTTGGAAGTCGGTACGTGTAGTTCGCCTTTCTCCCGAAAAGAAAATCAAAAAAAAGGGAGAGAAAATTTTATAAAAAAGACCAAAAAGAATTTAACGCTTAGAAATAAGGGCTCCAAAGAAACGGAATTGCATTTCGATTTCGACCGCAACTGCATTCGAAAAAACAAATCCGTATCTAAAAAAAATTAAATCGAAGAAGAAGAAAAAAAATCAGTTCAATTCGGTTCAAGTTGTTTGTTGAAAATAGTGGTTTTTTTTGTTGTTGTTTTTTTCATTTCCATTCTTATTTTTATTTTTTTTTTATTTCGCCTTTTGCCCGATTCCGACACTCAAAGACAACGAGCCAGAGTTATTGTTTTTGTTCGAAAAAATTTATTGCGTTTTTGCAAGCTTAGATTTTTGCCTAAGTTTGCGGTGCACCCATTTTTTTCTTTCGCTCGATTTGATTTTAAAACGTCAAAAAATTCAATAAACATACGAAAAGTACAAGAAAAAAGAAGCAAAGAAAGCAACCAAGGAAAAATCAAAAGAAAAAAACGCCAAGTCAAGCGAAATACGACCCAATACAAAGTAGTTCACAGTGCTATCAATCATAAGTAATAAAAAAAAATTCGGTTAGTTTGATTCGCAATTCGGTGCTCAAAGTTTAAAATATGTGCAAAATTCTTGATTACGATGGACAATCAAATCGCCAATGAATACGATCAAACAATGATTAAAGCAACGGATACAAAACGGAAAAACCGAACGATTTTTTTTTTATTGAAAGAAAAATGAATTGAAAGAAACTCACAACAGCGACAGAAACCACATTTCGACAAACATCTAAATTAGACAATCAAGAGCCACATTGTCATTAAGCAATCGAAAAAAAGAAATGAAACAGATTTTTAGCCAAGAAAAATACAGACGTTGATAGTTTAAAGCCTAAAAATTGATGTTAACAACGACTAGAAATTGTTTTTTTTTTTGATGTATTGTCGCTATATTCATCTTCTTCAAAATTTCCGTGTGTTACAGATAAGCGTCAACCAAGTGTTTTTCAAACTGGATTCATTGATAAAATAATATTCAAGACCGGATTATTTGGATTACAGTACAGTAAGTGTGTTATTTTGTTCATTTGTTGGATTGTTTGTTGTTGTATTTCATTCACTCACAATTACCATTTTACATATTCTCGCATTTTACTCGCGGTTCAATTCTCTCGTTGATCTCTCTCGCTCTGTCTCTGTCTCTATCTGTTCGTTTCATTCCGTTCGGTTCGGTTGTTTCGTTCCGTTCGGTTTGCACAGAGCACACGCTCTCGCATTTTTCCAATTGAAATTATTTATTGAGAGAATAGATAAATATACAGAGACAAATTAGATGAAACTATGTAGTATACATATGGGTTATTGTCGTGTCGAGAGCGTTAAGAGAGCGGCGGCTCTTCGGTCCGCAATTATCCGTCCGATTCTGTGTGTGTGTGTTTGGTTTTTTTTTCGTCGACATTCAGATTTTTTTTTCGCTCGTTTGCTCGTTCATTCGGCCGTTGTTTTCTTCTTATTTTCATTTCTTTTCATACAAGGCAACGAAATGAACGCATGGATTTCATTTTATGGTTGAATTTCGTGTCGAAGATCGGATTTTTTTTTCTTCGCTTCTTCTCTTCACTCTCTCGTCACTACTTAGTTTCTGTTGTTGTTGTTGTTGTTGTTGTTTTTTTTTATTGTGTTAAATTTCTTTACACATATATAGGCAGCCACATACACATACCACATCGACACGCCGACAAGCGACAGAGAGAGAGAGAGAGAGAGAGCGCGTGAACACGCCGTGAACAAAAAAAAAACAATCTCAACTATATACTCGAATAATAAATTGTCAATACAGCCAAATCACCTAAAGAGTGTCTGAAACGTAATGACAATACAGACTGTGTCGATATGTGTGTACGTGTGTGTGTCGTTCGGTCGGTCGGTCGGTCGGTTGGTTATTCGGTGTTTTGGTATGTGTGTATATGCTCGTATGGTTTTGATCTCTTTCCTCATCAAGAGAAGAAGAAAAAAATCCGCATGAACATCATCACACAGCGAAAGAAGTAAAAAGAAGAATACCAAGAGAGAGAGAGAGAGAGAGAGAGAGAGAGAGAGAGAGAGAAACACTCAAGGAATAATAACAGTAATAAGTATTGTGTGCGATCATTTGTCGACGTGGTAGATTTTTCGTTGTGTCGCTGATACTACGCGCTCGCTCTTTTTTTATCACAAACATCAGTCCCGCTGATTCGACTGTGTCCGATCCATATGTTTTGCGACGGAAATGTGCATGCACGTTTCCGACACCGAATAATGTCGCTACGAAATCTCCGTTCGAAACCGAGTACCTATGCTCGAAATTGAGAGCCGCTCAGAAATTCCAAGCGGATTTTTTTTTTTGCTTTAAACAAGCAAGTTTCGACCAATTTCTTCTTTTAACAATTTTCTTCTGAGTGAAGAGCTCAAAATTGGGTTGCAAACGAAATTCCATTCTAAAAATTTGAATGATATTGACATGACACCATCTTTTATTGGTGAAAAAAAGAGCGGATTGAGACTCATGTCATATTAACGAAGTTACAATCCATTAGTAAACCGTTTGACAGATAGATTTGGTCGATATGGCGATTGGTACATCGGTCCAAAGTTAACAAATCAATATGAATATCGGTCCATTCAAAATTCATCGCCCTTTCAATTTTTAAATGGCTATTCGATGATTCAATTCGAAAATCAATCAAAATTTCCGAAAATAAATCCGATTTAACTGGAAAGCGTGACTTAAAACTCATGGAGATTGTGATCTGTTTTTATCACCATATGGTAAAAAAAAAATGTTCGGAACATGGTGAGTGCTAACAATCGGCACACATACAGAAACGCATACCCACAATACAGCGTGAGCAGAGTCAAAGGACATATACCGCTACAGCGTAATTTGTAATTCAGATACGCATATTTCATGTGCGAATTTTTTTTTTAAAGATGCACACGCATTATGCGTTGACTTCATGGTCAAGCCGACAACGAAACGAGCGAAAAGAAATGAAGAAAAAAAAACCACTTGAAATGCTTGATTTTCATGACTTTCTCCGTAGTTTGTTGCGTTCACCATGTACATTCCTCTCTCTGTCTCCCTCTTTGTTCACAATTGCTGTTGTGTTTTTCTCATCATCATCATTATCGTCGTCGTCGTCGACGTCGTTTCTTTCCATCCGTGTGATTGTATATGCATTGCATAGTCGTAGGTCTTTGTGTAATGGTATTGGTGTTGGTGTTGATTCTATATGTGGCCAAGATTCGTTACGATTTTGCATTTTTTTTTTAAATGACACGTCTACAAAAATCGTTGCTTCACGCATGTGGGACTGTGTGTATTAGCTCAAAATTCGCTTTTTTTCCCGTCCGTTTTGTTTCATTGAAAATTGCCTGAGCTCAAAATTGTACCGTATTTCTTTCATTCTTCGGTTTTTTTTTAAAGGTTAGTGTTAATGGTGTGAAGATGTGTTATCATACGGTGTTGTTTGCGGTGTACGAGAAACCGACACAACAACAATAAAAAAAACGACTCTCACTCTTTCACCCAATCACAACTAGAATCAAGCACGAAATGCGTGTGTCTCTGTTTAATTCACACATAGACAAATCACTCGGTTGCTCGGTGTGTGTCTCTCTCTCTCCCTCTCTCGCTGTTATCACTGTCTCTCTCACACTGATTTTTGTCACACATACTGAACAATCGAATCGTTTCGTTTTTTTTTCTTTCGACCAAAAAACACATTGCTTCGAAATTTTTGATAACATGAAGAAAAAACTTGAATGTTGTCGTTTTAGAGTTTTTCATCGCTTTTAAATCGTCTTTCGTTTCAAATGCCGTTTCATTTTTTCCCCGTCATTCGGTTCATTTGCCGATCCAATTAATGCCATGCGTTCAGCACAACACAACTACTCGGCTGGTTTGCTCAGGTTCATTGCATATTTGTGCTGTCGATACATATATTTGTGTTCAGTATTTTAAAGTGGTATTCGAAAAATTGACGGTGTGTATATATTTAAAATAGTGAAAAGAAAGAGACAAACAGACACATTTTCGACGTGTCATCAGGCGATCATGAACTCATTTGTATACGTAGGCAAAATCGAATACATCGACAGAAAAGACAGTGACATACAAAATTGATTGAGCAATTTGGACGAGAAGACGTCGCGTGCAAAGCAAACAATTGACGTTTGAAAATGGGGCTCAGAAAATTGTCTGACAAATTGATCACCTTAAACGGTCGTTTGCTATGACAAAGACAAAAATCCCCATCGGCCGATCCCTTTTTTTTTTTCATTCACTTCGTTTCGGAAATGCATCGACGAAGAAGAATGTTGAAAATTATGTGACTGTCATCGCAGTGATTGGTCAATGGTCCCTTGTTTACCTAGATGGATATTTAAATATCAGACTCTACCTGTCTGTGCATGAAAATCTTCAATTTTTGTTTTCCTTTGCTACAATGGAACAGGCAATTACTATATCGTTAAGCGCCCGGGACCAGTGTTTCAAACAACTTTTGGCCCATCATTAAGCTCGGTTGTACATTTAGCAAATTACATTTGCACCAACCGACACACAAGCATCGCCCCCGAAATACTCAAACCAAATCGCTCAATATTCCAAAATAGCTGCCAAACATTCTCCAGAATGGAGGATACACTCTCACACAACGGCCCAAACACTGCCAAATCATCATTGTTTTTTCCTCTGTTTTTTTTTTCCGCTCCGTATTCTCTTCATTTCACTCACACTCTGTTGCTCGCTCTCTGTATTCTTTGCCACTCTCCACTCCATCGGATTGGGTTCTTACTCTCTTCTTACGTCATTCCAATTTATATATATATATAAATATATACGGTTTAGCAACGCGGCGCGCATGTATTTCCAAACACAGCCCGCGCGCCACACACTCGACACAATGTGGAAATGTTTATATTTACGTTCTGGAATGAAGAAACGTAGGCAGATGGTTTTTCAGCCCGTATTGTTAATAGCAATTTTTCATGTCGTCACCACCCCATCACCGCGTCAAGCACACAGTCTGCTTTCAACACACATCTCACGCACGCATATTGCTGAAGTGCCGCAAATTTCGGCCCAAAAAAAAATGCATAAACAAAAACACTTCTGTTCTTTTATTTTGTGGTTGCGAAAATAATTGGCAGGTTGTCACTTGAATTCCATGAGCTGAGTACATATCAACGTGTCATTGAATTCATGAATTGAAATCAGTCGAAAATATTTCATCACATCTCTCGATGAGAACCAACACCGGCCGCTTCGGTGTGTTTTTTTAGGTTTTCTCTTGTTTATCATTCGAATCGAGAATAAATTTCGGTATTTTTATTTTATGGTTTTTATTGATCTGGTGTCGACATAGATGAATTTTAAAAATATACCCGATATCGATCATCGCCAGATTTAAACCATATGTTTGCTTTCATTTCGATGTCATTGTGTCTGGGCTCGTTCAAAATATTCAAACAAGTTTAGTTTGAAACATTCCAAATAAAAATCAAATCACTCGTTTGAGCCACTCAAATCTACCGTTCGAAGAAAAAAAAAATGCAAATCCCATGTTCAATACGCAATTTTAGTTGGTGCAATGCCACACATCAATTGAATCGGTGTGTGTGTGTGTGTGTAGTCGGTCAGTTGAGCCCAGTGAATTGATTGTGATTCTTCTTGGATTCGAGAAAAGAAATCTACAACAACAGCAGCAGGTAGCCGCATGCGGAACCGATTACATTTTTTTTTTCGTTCGTTCGTATCTTGTTATAGAACAGTTAGGTGAGCGCATTTCGCCTCTCTCTTGTGCAAGGTTTTCATGTATTGCTTCACTGGTCAAATATCATGTTTTCCACTATCTCGAGCGTGAGGCAGCGCGCTCGCGCATACACTCTTCAACACAACATTGAACATGATTCGGTTTTGTTGTTGCTATTTTATCAGTTTACCAATTGGGAATCGAAATGAGCATTGATTTCAAATATGCGGGATAGAGTGAGTAGGAGAAAGGGAACGAACAACGAAAAAAAAACAACGACAGACTTTCTAATGAACAGAGCAAAAAAAAAAGATGGTGAAAAAGCATAAAGCATGAGAGAATTTCCGTCAGTGAAGCAAAAAAACGTAACTTGAAACAAAATTTTTTTTTTTTCGTTCAATAAGATTCCCTTATCTCACATACACAACACCGCTTGACACAGAAATCAACGCTAAAAACACTATAAAATGTTTATCCGTGTGAATCTAATCGAAAACAAGTGCACGCAATTCACATCAATGTTGCCTAATTGATTGTGCTGTGTGGCTCAAGTGCGCATTTAACATTGCTTCTACAGCTCGGCTGTGCGGTTGCTGCTGTCACCGTTGTCGTCGTAATCGTTTTGATGCGTACACCATATAGATATGAGCATGTTGAATTGTAACGAAAATTGCGGCGGTTTTTTCTTCTTCTGAAAACATGTGGAAAAGAATCTGATAACACTTTGTTGATATTGGCAACCAATTTCCATGATAATGACTAGCAGCCTCAGATAATAATCGACTAAACTAATAACAGCCCATGATTATTCAACAATATGTACCGTATATCGTTGCGTTATAAAGTTTGAAGCGGCGGTGATGACGTTTCCAAAACACCGGACACACGTCGATCATTTGACTTTCGATTCGCTCTTCCTCTTTGACTTTTCACCGGTCACTTCTTTTTTCGATGAGTTTTGATTCACATTTCTTTCGTCGTGTTTCTGTCTCTGACTCTGTCTTTCTTTCTCTCTTTTGGATTTGATTTTTTTTTTTGGACGTAGATAATTTTTTTCGGTATTTTGACATGCCTTCCTTTCTCTCACTCTCTTTTTCTCACTCTCTGACTCTTTTCATCTCATTCCAACGCGTTTCTTTTTTCATTTCCCATTCCAACATGTGTCTCCCGTTTCAAAGCGTTTCTCTCTCGTTCGGTCGTCTTTCTGTGAACTGAAATGACAATTTCTCAGTGAGCGATGATTTCATCGAAGCGAAAGACAATTCCAATTTCATCGCAATCATTCATTTTCTCTCCTTCATCTCTAGACTGTTGTTGTAATTTTTTTTTTACGGTTCGTTCGAAATTGGTTGCGACGATTTCTTATGCTATTAAAATAATAAAGTTGTAGACAAAAATAACACTGAGAATTTAGGTAATTGTTTCGCATCGAAAGTGGCAAACGACCGCACATACTCACATCGGCTTTCTTTTCATTCTTCAATTTCGGTGCGCGAAAAGAGAAAAAAAGAAGAAAGAAAACAAGCATTATGCACATCGCTTATTATGCTCATCACGTTTCTTTTGTTTTGGTTGCGTTACTTTTGTTCTAAACCAAGAGTGAAATTAATTGGATTATAATTTCTGGTTGGTCACTCGCTCTATTTTTAAATTGATGCGTGTGGATACATGAATATCATTCCCAGGATGTTCTTTGACTCCACTCTTACTCCCTTTCTCTCGTGCACACAAACACTCTCTCTCTCTTCCTATCTCCCGCTCTAGCTCTTTCTCTCGAGCGACAAAGCGTCCAACAATTGAACACATGTGTCGACACAAAAATGCGACCACAAATAAAATCGCAACCAATTATGCAATTTTTAATTCACTTTTTTCCTCTGTACAATCGCATTCATAGCAAACATCGAAATTATCATCACCTAAACATCTGTGTACAATGTGATCATGAACCATATTTTTTTTTTTTAGGAAAAATAAGCAATTTACCTCTTTTCTAATGAATTGACCAATTTTCAATTTCTAGTGTGACTGTGACGACTTGGAACGGATCAGGACTCTTCTTTATCAGTAGTAATGCAAGCAGCAGTGATGGAGGAATCACAAAGTAAGTCGATCTTTTTTTTCTACCACAAAATGTTGAGCGAATACTGGTCATTTTGGTAATTTTCAACCAAAATTTTGTAATTTTGGATCAAAATTGAAGATTTCACTGATTTTGAGCAAGAATTGATCTTTTTTTTCCCTTTTTGTGGGAAAATTTGGTCAATTTTGAGCAAAACTAGATGATTTTGTCAATTTTTGGCTCTTATTCGGAACGATTGTTGGTTTCAACCGATAAAAAACGGTTGAAAGAACAAGAAACATCGAAATTGTTTCAAATATTCGAAATTTCAATTGTTTTTTTACCATTCCGAATGGCTCGTTGTCATATCAAACATTCAACTAATTCAAAATTCTCTCTTTGTCTCTTTTTTCTCTTTCTCTCTCAATGTGTGTGTGTGTGTGTGTCCAACATCCAGTCAACAATAACAACAATGATAATAACATTGACAACAATGCGTCGACAACAGCAGCGGCCGCACCAATACGCACTTACGAAGATCTATTTCCGGCACTAAAGGCCTCAAAACCTCAAAATCATATTAATAATGCTTCCACGAGCAAGATGCGCGTTGAAAGTTCAACGGTGTCGAAAACGTTTGTCGTACCATTCGAAGAGCGTAAAATTGATACGGAAAAATTTGGCGAAGGTGAATCGCAACGTATTTGCAAATCGATTATGAAGGAAACGGGTGCACTCATCGAAATCACCACCGGTAAAGATCAATCAATTACATTTTCGATTCGTGGCCGTCAAAATGAGGTGCAAGATGCATTCCGTTTGATTTCAATGAATTATAAAACGCAAACCGTTAAGCAAATTAACATCCCAAAGGAGCATCACGGTTTGATTTTGGGCAAACGTGGCGAACGTCTGAAGGAAATTGAAAAGCAAAGTGCAACCAAAATCAATGTACCGAGCATATCCGAAGAGAGTGACATCATAACGATTAGCGGACCAAAGGAGGGTGTTGAAAAGGCCGAACATGATATTCGCACCATGTCCGATGAACAATCGAAAAAAGCCTTCGAACGTGTGCATGTGCCGAAAATTTATCATCCATTCGTTTTGGGGCCGGCAAATGAGTATTCAAATGATTTAGCAGCAAAAACGGGCGCCCGCATCAATGTTCCACCGCCATCGGTGATGCAGGACGAGATCACGATCATCGGCGAAAAGGATGGTGTGGCCAAAGCGAAGGCTGCTATCGAATCCATTTATCGTGATATGGAAAAGAAATGCTCAACGGTGTGCGTTGAAGTGCCAAAAGCTCAACATAAATATGTGTTCGGTCAACGTGGATCGACCATTCAAGAAATCCTTCGTTTAACCGGCGTTTCCGTGGAGATTCCGTCATCGGACACCAAATCCGATACCATCACGTTGCGTGGACCACAAGACAAGTTGGGCATTGCATTGAGTACGGTGTATGAAAAGGCAAATTCAAAACGTGCCACCCACATCGAAGCACCCAATTGGATACACAAGTACATTATCGGTCGCAAAGGTGCCAACATCAATAAGATCACCGCCGATTATGACAAGGTATTGGTTGATTTCAGTGAAAATATCATCACACTGGAAGGACCACCCGAACAACTTGACTTGGTTGAGGACACCATTGCTAAAATCGTCAAAGACTATGAAACACGTTTCACTTTCGTCGATATGACTGTGAATCGCAATCATGCCAAACATATTATCGGCAAAGCTGGCGCCAACATCAATCGCTTGAAGGAAGAACTCGAAGTGGATATTAACATTGAAGATGTGGCCGGCGAGAATAACATTCATATCGAGGGGCCGATCGAAGGTGTACGTCGTGCAGCCAAGGAAATCAAAGAAAAAGTCGAGAAATTGGACAACGAAAAGGAAAAAGATGTGATCATTGATCATCGATTGCACAGCACTCTGATCGGACCAAAGGGTGAAAGTATTCGTGAATTACGCCAAAAATATCCATTGGTTAACATTTTGATTCCAAACTCATCGGAACGTAATGATGTGGTTAAATTGCGCGGTCCAAAGGATGAGGTCGACAAATGCCACAAACAATTGTTGAAACTGGTTAAAGATGCTCAAGAATCGTCATTCGTTATGGAAGTGCCAATTTTCAAGAGATTCCATAAATTCATCATCGGCAAAGGTGGCGCAAATATTAAGAAAATCCGCGACGATACACAAACCAAGATTGAATTGCCAGCCGAAGGTGACAAAAATGAAGTCATTGTTATTTCTGGTCGTAAGGAGAATGTCAACGATGCCCGTGAACGCATTCTGAAAATCCAGTCCGAATTGGCCGATGTGGTGACGGAAGAATTGATCATTCCACCAAAATACTACAATTCAATTATCGGCGCCGGTGGCAAACTCATTTCGTCCATCATCGAAGAGTGCGGCAATGTGTCCATCAAATTCCCAAACACCGAATCAAACAGCGACAAAGTTGTTATTCGTGGCCCGAAGGAAGATGTTGAAAAGGCCAAGGTAAGCATTGATGACCCATTGATTTCACTTTTTTTCCTTTTAATTTCATCAATTATGTAATTTTTTGAACTATTTTCATCGGAAAAGAAGTAACTCTGCTTTGATTTTGAAAATTTTTCGTTTCTTTTGTTCAAAATCGAAGATTTTCTGTTCTTTTTTTCTATCCCAAAAGAGAAAAGGGATTTTTTTTTGACTCTAAAACGGTTTGAATTGATTGATTTTTCAAATTGTGTCCTTCGAAAATGTCGATTTCGATCTAAAATCCAATCAAACCCAGAGCATTAACCGATCAATTCTTCTCTTCTTTTTGTCCAATCAGCTCCAATTGATCGAATTGAGCAATGAACGTCAACAATCGTCTTTCACCGCCGAAGTTCGTGCCAAACCGCAGCACCACAAATTCCTGATCGGCAAAAATGGTGCATCGATCAAGGAGATTCGCGATCAAACCGGTGCTCGCATCATCTTCCCTGGAAATAATGACGAAGACAAAGAAGTCATTACAATCATCGGCAAAGAGGAAAACGTTTTGGCTGCTAAGGCTCAACTTGAGGCAATCATTAAAAACAATGGTAAGGCTGAACCGCATCAAATATTGAATTTTTCCCAATCAAAAGTTTTATTTTCTGGATCAAACCTTGCGTGTGAGCAAATGAATAAACGAGTGTTTTTGTGTGTGTGTGTGTTTATTTTGCAGATAATATAACTGAAGGTGAAGTTTTGGTTGATCCAAAGCATCATAAGCATTTCGTGCAACGTCGTGGTGAAGTGCTGCGTCGCATTTCCGATGACTATGGCGGTGTTTTAATTTCATTCCCTCGTCAAGGTAAGCAAAAAAATTGAGTTTTGTTCATTGTTTCTTGTGTGAGTGCTACCGCAAAGCAGTTTCTTCTTTTTTGTTTCATGAAACTGATTTACCAGAAGAATCTCATCAAATTATCATTTTTCTCTTCTTGGACAGGTACCGAAAGTCATCATGTTTCGTTGAAGGGTTCTAAAGAGTGTGTTGAGCTGGCCAAAAAGCGAATTTTGGAAATCGTTCATGACTTGGAATCTCAAGTGACAATCGACTGCGTAATTCCGCAAAAGCATCATCGTGTTGTGATGGGTCCACGTGGCAGCAAGGTAATGAAATCAAAGCCATTGTGTTTTATAACTCAAACCGAACGATCAAAATGATTAAATTTCATTGTCTCTCCTTTTCCCATATTCGTTACAGGTTCAGCAAATAACATACGAACACGATGTGCACATCAAATTTCCGGATCGTAATGCCACCGAAGAGACGGGCGAAATGAACGGTGATTCGGCTGAAATGAACGGTGAAGCGGTGCGTCAATGCGATATCATTCGTATATCGGGTACCGAAGAGAAATGTGAGGCAGCCAAACGGGCATTGCTTGAATTGGTGCCAGTCACCGAAGAGGTGAATGTTCCATTTGATATTCATCGTTGGATTATCGGTCAAAATGGTCGTGATGTGCGTGCGCTTATGAATCGTTTTGATGTTCACATTGAATTGTCACCGCCCGAAGAGAAATTAGATATAATCAAGATTACCGGTGCACCGAGCAGCATTGCCGACGCAAAAAAAGCCATCGACGAGCGTGTCGAAGAGTATGAAGCGAATCGCAAGGATCGTGAGCTACGTTCATTTGAATTGAAATTGGAAATTGATCCGATTTGGCATTCAAAGATTATCGGACGTAAGGGTGCCGTTATCAATAAAATACGTGCCAATCACGGTGTACAAATTTCATTTCCACGCAAAGAAGACGAAGTGGATAATGTAATCACGATTCAGGGTTATGAAGCCGCTGCAAATGCGGCCAAAGATGAGATCATGAAAATTTACAATGATTTAAATGATTTGGTGCGCGAAGTGATTAGCGTTGATTCACGCATCCATGCCCGTTTGATTGGTCAACGTGGCCGAAACATTCATAAAATTATGGATGAATACAAAGTGGAAATTAAATTCCCAAAACAAGGTGAAAATCCGGATGAGATCACCATTATTGGTGCACCCGATGCGGTTAGCGAGGCCAAGGATCATATTCTCAATTTGGAAGAGGAGTATTTGGAGGATATTGCCGATGCACCAACTCATACGCATGACTTTAGCACCGCACTTGAGACGGCCATGCAAAAGGGACCGGAAAAGAGTAAAGAAGGTTTCGTTGTACAAGGTGCACCATGGACCAAACAAAAAGGCAGCAAAAATGCACCAAATACACAATCTCAAGAAGATTTCCCCACATTCGGTGGTCTCGCTCAAAATGCTGGCAATGTCACGAGCAGTGACACCCCACTCTCCTCTGTCTGGGGACAACCGCGCTAAATTCGTTAACACAACACACACACACACAACATACACCAGAACCCCGCCGCCAGCTATCGCTCATTTGCAACCACTCGTTCGCTCAACCAGTGCACGAGCGAGCACACAACGAATTTACCGCTGCCAACAATAAAAACCAGAGCGCATCAAAAACAAAAGAAAAAACCTATAACAACTAAGAGAGAATAAAACAAAACAAAAAAAAAATCATTTAAAAAAGCAACCACAAAAAAATCCGAATTAAAATATTATTGCAATATATCTTACTCTTTCCTTTTCTACAAAACAATTTTTTTTAATGAATGAAGAAGAAAAAAAAAACTAAACATAATTTTATCGCTCAGAGTTTATCTCGTTTTTTTTTGTTTCCAATCGAAAACGAATCATATATTATATCAATTGTTTATTTTTCCCACTCCATTTTTTTCGATATACTAGTTTTTTGTTGTTGTTGTTTAAATACTTGGTCTACTTTTCTTTATGCATGAAAGAAAGAGAAAGAAAAAGATAGAGAACAAGAGACAGACAGACAGACACACACACACACACACATACATTAGAAAATATGATATTTTCTTCTTTTTTTTGCTTTTCAATTTAGTTTAATTTTGTATACGATGGAAGAATGGAATAGAGAAAAAAACAAGAATAATAGAGAGAAAAACAGAGAAAAACAAAACAAAAGAAAATCTATTCAATTGCATTGGATAAGGGAGTCTAATATCATTGCAAGTAAATGATAAGGAAATACAAACAAACAAATTGTTATCGAAAACTCGAATAATGGTTAAATTTTAAAAAAATACATCGTAAAAATTTTCATTGTTATGGAATTTATACAACGTATAATATATTCGGCCGCCGAAATATCAACTGGTCAGTTGAGCTTAACTAATTCTGTTTTTTTTTTCATTCATTGGTTCATTTTCTTTTTGTTGGGTTCCGCTTTTTTTTCGCTTTTCTTTTGGGGATTGAAACAAACATGCTGCTGCCTTTTTTTTCTAGATCAGACCGTAGGCTAGAGAATTCTTCAATATTGCTGTTGTAGCTGTTACATGAAAACGGGTGGCCCGAAAAGCGTTATAAAAAAAACCCTGAAGATTGAAGAAACGTATTCAATGCTCAGAAATGACAGCAAAACTGTCCTATCTAACTGGTCGAACTAAGACAACAACACTGACCATAAACTAAACACGAATGAATTTGGACGAAAAATTCATTAAAAAAAGATCGAAAAATTATTTAAAAAAATAAGGAGATGAAAAGAAGAAGAATGTTGATCGAATAGATTCTATGGATAACTAAAATCAAACATCCTTCAAAACTCATGGAATTCAGTTGGTTGATTCTAAGCATTTATGGAATTTTTTAGTCAACAGCATTGATCCAACATATAGGTCATGATCGACAAAATTTGAATGCATATGCCATATGTCATTTTGAATTCTCTTCCTTCGAGTTCGTCTCCATCGAATTCCATTGTCGTCCAAATTTACTGCCGTCGATTTTCAGTTGACATTTCATCGTTCAACAAATCATTCGTCGTTGAAGATGGATAATGCAAGCGGAGATTTCGTCAAATTTCAAGCAAAACATCAATTTTGGAAAAATTATTTTGAATTTTTTTCTGATGAATCATGTTCCATTTTACCTAAAGCATGAATTTTCTCAAGGAAATTATGCCGCAAAATTGTTGCGATATCTTCTTCGAAGCATTTCAAATTATTTTCAACTTCATTTTCAATGACTTTTGAACGAATTCTGCAGTAACCTAGTTGAATTTCATGATTTCAACCTAATTGAAAGTCATCATCGAGAAAAAGAGATTTTTTTCCAATCATTTTTTCATTCCATTTTAAAAATTGTACTCACAAAAAGACAATCGGAATATTGTTCATGCGTTTTTGATTGACTATTGTTTTTCTGATATGTTAAATTTGATCGATCGGACACGATTCGTCAAAACACCAACACCTAAAATTAAATTATTCGTTAACTTAATCATATATTCGACATAAAAATTTGATCAACAATTTGCAGTGACTGGTTGACACGGCCGGCTGTTTGTCTCAAAATTGAAATTGGATGTGTCGCATCTTGCGGCCCTAAAAATCGTACTGAAACAAAAGGAAAAAAAGAAAGAAAGAAATAATCTTTTTCAAAAAAGAAAAAAGTGGAAAAGTTGAAGAAATGAGAAAAAAAGAAATATTGTTGTCTTTTTTGTGTTACTATACATAATTATATGCGTAAAACAGAAAAATATCGAGCTATGTAAAGTGTTGGGCTAAAAAGAGGTGTTTAAAATGAGATCGGTGATTTTCTTTTCCGACGCCATCGTTACAAACACACATACAACAAATTGAAATTATTTCATCAAATTGAAATTTTCTTCCTACCAGAGTATTGTTCTTTTTTTTAGAAAATTTATACTGAATAATTGATGATAATTAATCTACTGCAAAAAATGGTACCTTTTAAAAATGTTTCAAAGGAATACTAAACCGATATTACATTTCAATGGTTTTTTTTTACCGAGAAAACTTTCTTTAACTGAAAATGTTCGATTTTTTTCCTTTAAACACTCAATTTAAATGAAAGAGATGGAGAACGGAGGAGTAGCCAAGAAAAATTTATAAAAAAAAGCGGATTTCCGATTGAAAGCAAGATAGTTATGAACGAAAGAGATTGGAGAATATTGAGATTAAGAGAAAGAGAGAAAAACAAGTTATAGAGAAAGTGTGAGTGGTCTAAAGAGATGAATAGAAAACAATAAATTAAATGAAACTAGCTAAACTGATGAAATGAACGAGAGGAGGTGAATGATGGAAAACAAACAAAATAATGAGATATTTTATATTTTTGTACTGAAAATTAATAAATGAGAAAAAAAAAACAAATCGAAATATGTAATGTAACAAAAAAGAAATCAAGTATGTGAAAGCACTAGTTCTTTGCATATTTTTACAAATGAACACATTTTTTTTTTGTTGAAACTCTTTCGATTTTTAATTTTGATCTTCTCGCTGAGCTCACTCAAGACATTTTCCCTGGATTTTTTTTTTTAAATTTATTTCGGGATAGAACCCATGTTTTCCTCTCTCTAGAGAAAGCAGACATAATTTTATACTCTTTTTTTTTTCAATTGGCTGATTCGAATGAATAAAAAAAAAGAAGAATCCGATCAACTGCCAAATATGTACAAATTAATATCAAACACAGAGACTCAAGTCATGTCTAGAAAAGGACGCTATTTGTTGATAGACATACCAAAATTTGCCGTTTTTGAAATTCATTTCTTTCTCATATTTCTGTTCAATTTTGGCTCCATTTTTATCGTCACATTTATCGATCAAAACGGAGGCGACCAACAAACTTTTAGACTATTTTAATATCGGGCTATAGCAACATCAATAAAAAACGATTTATTTGCTTCAATTCTGTATCAATTTTTGTGAAAAAAGAAGCAAACATTTTTAAATACAAGTGTAATTTTTTTTGTATATTTTTTGAGCAAATGTTTAATTCAAATGAAATTGACTGAACGAATAGTAGGGATTACGACAAAAAAAAACAATCCTAACAAAAACAAATGCACTTTTGATTGAAGGCTGAATTTGTAAATGTGAAAAGAAAACTGATATGGAATCGTTCGATGAGAAAGGTGGTAAGTCATCAACATGTAACAGATGAAGAGAGAAAAAAAACAAACACATACAAAAGAAGACCTTTTCTTTAAGAGTCTGACAATGGATATAAAATGAATTTAAATATAAAATAAAGAGAAAAAAAAAACAATCAATATGACAATTGTTATGTGCGTTTTATTTACAATTTAATTTAAAAATATTTCTTGAATATTCAGAACGTGGGTTTCACACCGACTAAGTAAGACAAGCCTTAGTCCAACTTAAGCTGATAGATTCGAGTGATGTGATCCAAGCCACAGCTGGCCAAGTGGTATGGATTCTCTTCCGACGGTCGGAATTGCAACTTTTTCACCGTTAAATGATGAGCATGTCTATGGAAAAAAAAAAGGAAATTTCTTGACTTTAGCAACAATTTTATGCATATAAATTGGCGATGAAAAATTTGGACAATTCATGAATTTTTTGGGGAATAGTTAGAGTATTTCTGGAATAAAATTCTATTTTTTCATAGAACAATTCAAATTTCCAGAGAAAAAATCGATTTTCAATAAAAAAAAATCGTCTTTTTCTATGGAAAAAATCAGTTTTTTAAATAAGAACTGCGATTTTTCAAAGAAAAATAGCATTTTTCAGACAAAAACTCATCAAATTTAATTTTGCCGAAATCAAAACTTCTTTTTATCTAGTGAAACTTGAATTGTTCCCCAAAAAAAACAATTTCCAAGCAAGAAAGATTCGAAACTTCCCAACAAATTTCAAAATATCTCGTAAGTTTTTGAAAGAGAACTTACGTTTGATCGATCGTAAACAGGGTGTTCCAGTTTGTGTTAAGTGTGCAGATATGAATGTGGCCATTTTCGAGTCCAATCCCCGCCACGTAATCACAGTTATTTGGTGCGAGACATGAGGCGAATGCCACAGCCGTCACTGAGTCTGTTTTGGCCAGTTCCATTGTTGCTAATGCACTATAGTTCTTTAAACTAGTACCGGAATCATTGTCTGTCTGTTGCCACGCAACCACTTTTCCATCTCGTGACCCGGTAGCAAAGAACTTGCTATCGTGTGTCCAATCACATGTCCAAATGATACGACTATGAATGCCATTCTTTTTGTCAGTGGTTGCAATCAATTTGAAATTACAAACGACATCTTCGGCATTGGAACTGTCATTCTCAAATAGTGTCCATCTTCGATCTCGGCTCACAGACAACAGCCATCGATTATTTGGTGAAAATCTTAACTGTGTTACGGTGAGCTGATGTGATGGTAGCTTTTGGATTTGCTTCCATGTTGACGTGTCCCACAAGATAATTTGAGCATGCTCTTCATTCGTTGCCCGACAACTCGATGCCAATATCTTTCCGTCATTGGTTGCAGTCAATGCAAACACCTCATAACCATGTCCGTACAACTTTTGCACCTCTGGCCAAAGTGTATTTTGCACTAGAGTCTCCTCGGTTGGTGGGCCTGGAATTGAGTTAGTTATTTAGAAGAAAATCCATTTTATCTTTTTTGTATGTAAAGATTTGATTGGAAAATTCTAAGCAATTTCCAATACGAATTCTTCGATTGAATACAACAATCAAACGTGATCGCTTTCAAATCCAGAAAAACCATAAATATTTTCCAAAATTAAGCTCAAACTCACAATCCATCGAAACTGGAACGAAATAATTGTCTGGGTACTGGTCTTTGATGTGACGATGCTCAGCAGCAACTGGTATTGATTCATCGAAAACGGCTTTATTCGAAAGTCCTAATGATGGAACTGATGCTCCTTTGGGCGTAGCTGAAACCAATATGTTTCATTTTGATTAATTTTCTTAATTTATTGTTAATTTTTCATTTGAATTCTTTTCGCAGCAAATTATTTTACCAATTTGATTGATGACGAGTAAAAATATAATCGCCAAAAATATTTTCCAAGTCAGAATTTCTTATTTGACTTGATGTAAAAGTGTTTAAAACGCTTTCTTAACCCTTTATTTATCGAAAGTTCGATTTTCCGTACAAATGTCCCATTTTTGGAACACTTGATTAAATAAAGGTTTAAGAAATGTATTCCGATTCGGGATAGCCAATTTGAGCAATTCGGAATTTCCGAATTGAAATAGAGTCAAGACCGGAAGAACTTACATTCGATAATTTCATCAAGTTCCGAGCTCTCAATGCTGCTTAACTTTTTGAAATTTTCAATAAAATTGACTGGCGCTTGGAAAGTTCGAACGATTTTCTCTTCTGCGCCACTGGCGAACTTAAATCGTGCTAACGAACAAATGGTTTGCATATCGTAGCCGTGTATTTGAGGCCGGGCTATTTCATGCCACGTCTAGAACGATAAAGAAAATTCAATGAAGGCAACAGACACATTTTTGAAGAAAAACAATTTAAAAATGTCAAAAGAACATCTAAACTGAGTCCACTGCGAACAAAGTCTCTTTTACGCTAACAGCAATTCGTACACGAACGAGTCAGTGCGACAGTTGGCGTGAGCGAGACAAAGTTTAACAGCAAACAATTTGGTTATATCGGTTTAAATGTTCTTTAATCAATTTTCAAAGAAATGAAAAGGAAATGATTTTAACTTGATCCAAAAAACCGATAGCTATGGATTCGAAAGAATACTTCAATCCAAAAATCGCAATCATGCTTCAGAAATAGCTTAAACTCCAAAGAAAATGATTCAAAGAAATGCAAAGAATTTTCACACAAAAAATTTACCGTAACTTCATTGCCGTTCCGTTGCCATGGTGCATGGCATCGTGTGGTTTGGTCGGCTGACACGGTCAACACGAATTCACCGAGTGGATTCCAGCATAAATCTCGCACTTCAGAAAAGTGTCCGCCAACATTGATGCCCGGTACCCAAACATTTTCATTGTCGCTTTGATGCCAAATGTGAAAGCTACCCTGATACCCATGTCCAATGATCGACTTTGCGTCTGGTGAGAATTTTCCGCCATAAAATCCGAGTGTGTTACCGCCAACTTCACCAACGCGAACTGGAGAAATGACCGACATTTAGATTGTTATTGCAAGAATAATTATATTACCACAGTTTTATAAGACTGATTTTGAAACTCAATAAAAGAATAGAACCTTTTTCCATCCAAACGCCCGTATCATCTTGCATGGCCCAAATGATGAGTGTCTTATCGATAGAGCTGGATAGTAGTTGCAAGCGATTATCGGCTGATTTTGACCAATGTACACTGTAAACCCATCCATCATGGCCCAACAACACCGACTCCAATGTCACGGCATAGCTCAGTGACTTCCCCGTTTCCGTTTTCACCGTAAAAAGTCTCTCTTCAATTTGAATGTCATCATTCGTTGTAAAAATACTAGCTTTTTTCCGTTGAATGACCGGTTCGATGATTTGACGTGCCGAAATGCGCCACAGCCGAATGAATGTATCTTGTGCCGATGAAGCCACCAATAACTCCGAATTGTTCAATGTGATAATATCCAAACCACGTACCCAATCCTCATGGCCCACCAATGTATCGACTTTAACAAATTTCCGTTTGCCATCGACCGTCTGCTCGCATACCAAGTGAATATTGTGTTGATCGGTGGAGAAAGCCAACAGCACCTTATCTTTGGTATTTGGTAAAATGGCAAATTTCAAAGCAAAACAAAAACCGGATCCCAAATTGATCGTGTCAAAGACTTCGTATTCATTTTTATCGGCGGAGAATGACCAAAATTTTATGGTTGAATCGAGCGATGTGGTTACAATTAACCATTGATTATTGACGCGAATTGCATCGACAAATGTTACACCGGCTTCATGTCCGACCAATTTCCACATTTTCGGCGCATTTGGATTTTCGATATTCCATAAAATGCACAGCTTGTCATAGGCGCCCGACAAAAATTCATACTCCGATATCCATTTGACTGTGTTCACTTTGGCCGTGTGCTCAACAAATGTTCGCCGTATTTTGGCCGATCCATTGAAATTCGGATCGAAAAGTGCGACCGAATTGCAAGCCGCAAAAATCACTTGTCCACTTTTACCCCAATCAGCTGATTGTGGCGTTCGATTGCATGCAATCGACGTGTACACATTTTCTGCACTCATTTTTTTTCCGTTCACACCCAACGATTGATTTTATTTTCGATTTGTTGACAAATTTTTTTCTTTGTTAAACTCTGTTTTGTTGTTGATTTTTTTTCTCGTGCCGCCGAAATGAATCAATTCGTTGATTACTATTTTGAAACGCACATGTTCACACAACTGTCAAAGCACCGTCGATGATTCAATCTATGCAAGTTGTAATACGTACGCGTCGTGTACAAACACGAGTTTTGCATGAATGTATGCGTGTTTTTCGATGAAGTACCGATTGAACAGCGACATCTATACGTCAACAATTGGATTAGGTTCATTCGATTTGGAGCGGATTGTATTCACTATAGAGTATGTATACATACTAGAAGAACATAAAACAACAAGAAATAACAACATTTCAATAAATTTTCAGAAGCATGTTCAAAAAACCAAATTGAACACAGCAAATTGAAGGAAGTTTAATAAAAACGCGAGATTTCTTTCAGTAATAATAGAGATACACTACCGTGCAAAAGTTTGTAACCACTAGGTATTTTTCATACAAATTGACCATTTTTGGTGGACTTATTAACATATTTCGGAAACACCTGCACTCTTGATATTTTGTGCATAGTTTCTACAACGTTTCAATAGTAAATCACAGAGGTTTCATCAAAAAATATTCACGTATTTAAAAAATATATCAATTTGATTTGATCTGTTTTAATCTTCATACAAATTTGATCATTTTTCACACAGTCCAAATTCAAACTGCTATATTTTTGAAATTCATGAATATTTTTTGATGAAACCTCTGTG